TATGTATATATATGTAATATATATGTATATATATGTTATATATGTTACTTCTCTGTATATATATATGGTATCTATATGTATATATTGTATATATATGTCTATCTATGTATATATATGATATATATGTATCTATATATATATATCTATTCTCTCTTCTCTCATCTTTTATACATATCTCGCTGTACTATATATTTATGCATATATATCTATTTCTTGCATATATATATATATTCTATATATATTCTTATATAATCTCTAGATATATCTATATATATATATATATACAACACATATAATATACATATATATATATACAATATATATATATACAATATATATTATATATATTATATATTATATATAATAATAAATATATATTATATCCATATCTACATATATATACAATTATACATTATATACATTATACTACATATATATATATATAATATAAGATACACATATATGTATATAATAATACTATATATATATATATATATTATATATCTATAATAATATATATATATATATATATATACACTATATATATCATTATATACATATAACATATACATATTATGTGTTAATATAGTATAGTATATAATATATATATATATATATATATATATATCCATATATATACTCTATATATAATTATATATAGATATACAATATATATGTATATTGTATATATATGTATATATAATATTATATTATATATATTATATAGTTTTGATATATATATATATATATTATTATATATATCTTATATATATATATATATATATATTATATATCGAACATATAATATTTATATATATACATATATATATATAGTAGTATTACATATATATATATATATATATATATACATATATATATATATATGTATATATCTACATATATATATAATATAAGACATATATATATATTATGAGTGGATTTATATACAGTATATATATATATATATACCTCTATAGTCTTATATATATATATACATAATATATATATCTATATATATATACCATCTCTATACTATAATAGCACCATATATCTATCGATATATATTATATCAATATCTCTATCATATATATATTCATATACATATATACCTATCTACTCTCACCTATATCATCTATCATCTATATATACTATAACAGTATATATATATATATATCTATACATATATATATATATTATACATATATTATATATATATATTCTATATATCACCTCTCATAATCTCTATATATACTATATATATCTATACTATACATATATATACTATCTATATCTCCTACATATATATATATATATCGTATAATAGTATATCTATATGTATATACTATGAGATTGGTATATATATAGGTGGTAGTATATGATTTGATATATATAGTTAGTGTTATCTATAGTCTTCGATGTATCATATCTATATATATATATATATATGTTATATATCTATATATGTTCCTACTACTATACTCGTATCTAGTAGTGTATTATATATCGTATATCGACATATGTCGACTCTATATATATATATGTCTCTATCTATATAATACTATATATAGTCTTATCTCTATATATTATTATATATGTATCTATATATATTCCGTATGTCTCTCTCTAGATGATATATATATGTTATATCTCATATATATATATGTCTATATATATAGTAGTAGCCTATCTATGTCGATCTTCTATCTATATATATATATGTATATCTCTATATCTTATCTAGATCTATCATATATCTCTATATATATATATCGTATAAAAATATATATAATATATATATATATATCTATCTATCTATATATCATCTAAAAATATCTATATATCTATAAAATCTATATCATCTATATTATCTATCTAAAATATATATTATATGTCTATATCTCTTCTCTATATCTACTCTCTATATATATATATCTCTCTATATCCTAAATATCTATAATCTATGTCTGTATATCTCAATTCTCATATATCTCTCTATATTCTATATCTAAATATCTATATATCTATATATCATCTTATCCATATATATTATATATATCTATCTATATATCTATATCTATATATATAAATATCTCTATCTATAGTATATCTACAATCATACTATCTACATCTCTCTTCACTCTCTCTCTAATCTCTATCTAGAACTATATCATATCTATATATATATATTATCTCTCTATTATCTCTATAAATATATCTATATCTAATCTACTCTATATATATCTCTATTATCTCTCTATATACATTATCTGTCTATATATCATACTATCTATATCTTATCTCTATATCCCTCTAATATCTATATATATCTTTTATCTACTATCTATAACTATATATATACTATCTCTCCCATAATAATCTATCTATACTCTATCTATATATATAACTCTATCTATATATATCTATCATAATCTATCTCTCTCTATATATATAATTATATATCTCTCTATATCTCATATATCTCATCATATCTTTATATATA